GACTACTGAAGAGATTAAGACTGAAATCAAAAGATTCATGGAAACAAATGATAATGAGGGCACAAGATTCCACAATCTATGGGACACTGCAAAAGCAGTCATACTAGGGAAGGTCATTAGCAATTAGTGCACATAAGAAAAAAGAAGGAAGGTGGCAAAAGGACAACCAAACATCATCTCTCAGAAAACTGGAAAAACAACCAAAAAATCCAAAAAAAATTGCCAGGAGAAAAGAACTAATAAAGATTTGAGCAGCAATAAATGAAAAAAATTATATAAAAACTATACAGATAATAAAATAAAGCTAAAGCTAGTTCTTTGAAAAGAAACAAAGATTGAAACACCATTAGTTAGACTAATTAAAAAGGAGAGAGAAAGAAACCAGATAAATCAAATTGGTAATGAATCAGGCAACATTACAGCAGACATAATTGAAATACAAAACATTATTAGACTACACTATGAGTGAATATACACCAACAATGAAGAAAACCTGGATGAGATGGATAAATTCCTAGACACATATAATCTACCAAAATTGACTAAAAGGAACATAGGAAGCCTGAGGAAACCCATAACAGCAATGGTATTGAATCAGTAATAAATAACCTCTCAACAAAGAAAAGTCCACGTCCCCAATGACTTCACTGCTGAATTTTACCAAACTTTTAAAGAAGAGGCAACCCCCATTCTTTTCAACTGTTCTAGAGATTAAAAAGAAGGAACCCTTCCAAATTTATTCTATGAATCCTCCATCACCCTCATTTCCAAAGCAGATAAGGGCATAACAAAAAAAACCGAAAAGTACAAACCTATAGCTCTGATAAATATATATGCAAAAGTTCTCAACAAGATACTTGTTAACTGTATTCAACAGCATATAAAAAAGATTATTCATCACTACCAGGAAGGCTTTATTCCAGGAATGCAAGGATGATTCAACATATACGAGGCCATAAGTGTAATACACCCTATTAACAGAAAAAAAAAAGACGAAAACCATATGATCATTTCAATCGATGCAGAAAAAGCATTTAACAATATACAACATTCCTTTATGATTAAGATTCTCAGTAAAACCAGCATAGAAGGATTATTGCTCAGCATAATAAAAGCCATCTATGAAAAACCTATAGCTAACATTACACTGAATGGGTAAAAGCTAAAATTTTTTCCACGAAAAACTAGTACAGGACAAGGCTGCCCACTCTCTCCACTCCTATTCAATATAGTACTGGAAGTCCTAGCCAATGTGATCAGAAAACAGAATGAAACAAAAGGCATTCCAATAGGCAAAGAAGAGTTGAAATCAACTCTGTTTGCAGATGACATGATTATATACATAGAAGACCCTATAGTATTCACCAAAAAAATCTTTTTGAATTAATAAATGCAGACAGTAAAGTGACAGGATATGAAATTAACTTACAAAAATCTATAACATGTCTATATACAAACAACAAGCAGAGACAGAACTGAAGAAAGTAATCCCATTTACCATGGTCACAAAAACTATAAGTTACCTTGGAATAAAACTAACCAGGAAAGTCAAAGACCTCTTCAAGAAGACTTATGAAAATCTTAAAAAAGAAATCGAAAATGACAAAAAAAATAAGATAACCCATGTTACTGGATTGGCAGAATTAAGATATAAAAAAATGGCGATCTTATCCAAATTAAGTCACATATTTAATACAATTCATATAAAAATTACAAGAAACATTTTACACAGATATAGAAAAAAAATCATAGAATTTGTCTGGAATCATAAAAGACCCATGTGCCAACCACTCCACTTCTTTTGCAACCCTATGCAAAAAGGGTGAAGTGGGTGGCATCTCATAAAATATATTACAAATCTGTGATGATCAAAACAGTATGTTATTGGCACAAAACCAGACAAGAGGACCAATGGAACAGAGTAGAGACCCTAGAAATAAACCCCCAAAATACACAGGCAACTGATCTTTGACGAAGGGTACCAGTCAACTCAGTGGGAAAAGATAAATCTTTCTAGCAAAGGGAGCTGGAAAAACTGGGTATCCACCTGCAAAAAGATGAATCTGAACCCCTATCTGTCACCATTAACAAAAATCAATACAAAGTGGATTAAAGATCTACAGCTAATACCACAAACAATAAACCTCCTGTGGGAAAACACTCTGAAACTATAGGAGACATTGGGGTAGGCAAAGACTTCTTAGGCAATACCTCCAAACACAAGAAATAATCCCAAAAATACATAGGTAGGATTACATAAGATTAAGAAGTTTCTGCGCAGCAAAAGACACTGTAATTAGTATGAGTCAACAACTCTCAGATTGGGAGAAATTTTTTGTTAACTATGCCTCAGATAAAAGACTGCTAACCAGAATTCACAGGAATTCAATCTGCTTACCTGGAAGAAAATAACTAACCCAATTAAACGTTGGGAAAATGAACTGAATAAACAACTCTATAAGGAAGACATATGAACAGCCAAAAAGCATATAAAGAAATCCTCAACATCCCTCATCATAAAGGAGATGCAGATCAAAACTACAATGAATTACCTCCTAACCTCAGAATGGCAATAATTTAAAAAGAAAAAAAAAAAAGTAAGTGCTGGTGGGGATGTGGTGGAAAGGGAACTCGGTGGGAATGTAAATTTGTGTAGCCAATGTGAAGAACAATATAGAAGTTCCTTCAAATAGAAGTACCATATGATCCAGCAATTGCACTCCTGAGTATCTACCTAAATGATAGGAGAATGCTCAGTTGTAAAAGCACTGGCACAACTATATTAATTGAGCTATTATTTGCATTTGCTAAGACATGGAACCAACCCAAATGTCCACAAACTGATGAATGG